GAAGTGGTTTGTGTAGCAGCCGTCTGCGTTCATTAGCCGTTGGCTCCTACGGCAGGTGAGGTGGTGGCCAAGGGTCCTGTCCCAGCTCAGGGCTGGGGCTGGGCCCTGAGGTGGAGTCAGCAAGGGGCCATCAGCTTACCTGGGACAGCAAGCGCATCTGGGCGTGAAGTTTAGTGAATTAGACAGTAGGAAATACACGTGATGAATTCGGTTTTTATTCGAAAAAAAATTCTCAGCGTAAAGGTAGTAAACGTGGGTTAAATGGCTGCAGTCACATCAAACCAGTTCTGAGGCTGACTGAAGCTGGGCTCTTCGCTTTCCCCCACCACGGCACATTTCGGCGCTCTCTCCGCATTGTAGGTGTTTCGGGGGTTCACCAGGAAAGCCCAAGTAGACTTCGACAGAGGAGAGATTTGGAGTTATCTTTGACTTTTATGGACCTTTTTTATTAAAATGCTTAGTGCTCTAAATGTAGAAATAAGAAACTCATTTATCTTGACAAAAGTGCTGCCATAAACTATTCAGCACTCATAAAATAACCTTTTAAATTATTGTTTCTGCTGGTATCGATAAATTCATACAAAGTGCTTAAAGGTCAGGCATTGCCAGAAAAATGTCTTTTCATCTTGTTAATTAAAGGTTTATAAGAATGTGCACCAGCTTGCTCTTTGGACAAATTGGAAAAAAAGGGAGGAGAGGAAAAAAAAAAAAAAATAGCCCCACACGGATGAAAATGATAGTGTGGAGTTGGTGAGTGACAAGTCTTTGATCCACCGTGCTCACCATGGCAAGGCTGGAGAGTTTGTGAGTGAAAACAGGTGGCGCTGTTAACAGGAGGAAGAAGAGGGGGTTTTTTTTCCCTTTTTGCCCTTTTTTTGGGCAGGAGGCAGCTTCATTACTCACCTCTTGCAGCTGAGGATCCAGCTCGAAGCGAAGTGTTGAGGTGTGAGCAGTACTCGCCCCGTTGTAGCAGAGCCACGGGGAGTTTGTCTAGTTCTCATTGCCTGGCTGAGAACATCAGACATTTTTTGTTTGATTTGATTTGATTTTTTTGTTGTTGTTGTTTGCCAGGCAAGTGGTTTTATCTGCTCATTCGTTTACCACTTCGGCTGGAACAAAGCAATGCTGTGAAATGCACTGCACAAAGTACCCAGAGCCAAAGTGCCCAACCATCCCGCCCAGCACCGGCACCTCCTTCACTGCACAGACCACAACTGCCAGCCCCTCTGGTTTCCACTTCACCCCTTTCTCCCATCGTCCTGGAGACATCCTGGTCCGATCATTAAAATCTGACCTAAAAATCGGGCGACTCAGATGTGATCCTACGCCAACAGACGAGATGAGGTTAATCAATCACACGGATGAGGCACTGGGAGTGAGACGTCTGGCTTGCACTTCCCCCTGCACCACGGGCTAGCCCCGACAACGTTATTTTACCTCTAAATCTCGATTTTTTTCATCGCTAAAACAGAGACAATAATACTGACCTAGGTGAAGTACTCAGAGATAACGGATGAAATGTGTTACTGGAAAAGTACAGAGGTTTCTCTCATTGAATTCTGCTGATACAACAGCTTGAACTATTTATCGCCCGAGCTGGGAAACAATAACAAACCCATGTAAATAGTGAAAATAGATTCGTAGATATCTCTGTCTGAACATACTATAGTGCTATTATTAATGTGAGATTAAAGTTCTGAATTTTCTCTCAGCCATGTGATTTTCATACTGAGACTGTATCCTTGAATATTAAATAACAGATCCTTGCTATAAAACCATTTGTAAACATGAGGCTGCATCTTTGTCACTGCAAATTTCATAACCTGAGAATGCCATGATTTGTTTTTGCTCTCTCGAGGTTGCAGCAGAACTTCCACTTCAGGAAAACAAATCTGACAGATTTTTTGAGAGTGCAGGTGACAGAACTAATGATAGTTCATTTCTCTGATACCCACAGACAATCCCCCCTGGCTTTGTCTGCAAGCGAAGCTGAGAGAACAGCGCAGAGTAGTTTTATGGTGTTTCTTCTTTCTTCTCCCGTTCCCATTCCTTCTGGCTCAATCGTTCTGTGGTTTGAAACATGAACCGGCGCTGGCCCAACGATGCACCCAGAGGCTGAACTCCTCCCTCACAGGACAGAGGCTTTCTGCTCTAGACAGGGTTGGCTTCTTGGTTTGGTTTTTTTTTTTTTCCTTGTGGCTGATATTTGAAGTAGTACAAGAAAGGAGATTTGTTGCTCAGACGTGGGGGTTTTGTGCCTTCTATCAGTTGATAACTGTATCTTATCTAACTTCTGAGTAATTTGATTCTTATCTTTATAGTCAATTCCCAGCTTCACTCAGTGTCAGCACTTCGTATTTTAATAAGTGGAATTCTGTTGGCCAGTCTGAAAACCCCTTGCAAATCCACACGTATCTGCAGGAATAGGAATATCAGGGTGTCTGTCTTCAAGGTCAGAGGTAGCATGTTTAAAAACGACGAGAGGTGCCGCCACACTTCCAAGCAGGACCTTCGGGAAGGAATAACTTGTTTTAACTTTCTGTAGAGGGTGTGTGTGGAGCCCAGGAGAGGTTGTGGAGCTCCTCGTGTCTCCAGGGAGAACTCGGCCATCGCTGCATTGTGAGAGAAATCTCGTTCTGTTTATCAACAGTGTCGGGACGGAGGGAAAAACATAGATCATACTTGTGATAAACTTCCAGTTCCTCTAGTGCGGGTTGGCGCGTTCGTTTTGGTATTTACCTTAACGATTTTATTGTTAATATGGATTAATTTTAGCTCATCCTAATACAAGGCAGGAGGCTGTGATAGGTCTAATAAATAGCAGTAGCAGCAGGTGGCAGCTCAAGTTCTCCGTCTCTCCGGACTGCAGGAATTCATCACATCGTCCCTCCCAATGTGTGAGGCTGTGATATGGTAGACAGGGCACAGAAGTCGTTCGTCCAGATAGGCTGTAATATCTTTCCTATTGTTTTTATTCTCACGTGTCACCCTGCAAGGATAACTGTGGTAGAAATACCCGCTTTTGTCCCTCACTCCGCTGCCAACACTTCTACTTCTGCAGGAGGGTCTGACTGACTTGTTCTGGCACCCAGGGGTGGAAGTGCTGCCCCCTCCGCCCCCCGCCCTTGGCTCAAGACAGAATTTTAATAGAGTGTATTTGTCCATGGATGATCCAGGGTACTGGTAATCCATGAGTACTCGGGGAAAAATTGAATTGCGTGTTTATAACTGCACAGCTCTCCTTGTTGTTCTAACTTACACAAATCTTATGCAGATTTTAGTCTTTGCTGAATATATAACATCACACCCCCAAATGTCTCCAAGAGGAGTAGCAGAGTTAAAAATATAAACTCTGTAGGACAAGATTATTAAAAATATTCTGCATGAAAATGCATGGTGTTCTTACCAAACACTGTAGTTAGGATGAAATAGGCTGTTGCACCGCTGTTGTTGAGGTCTGGGGAGAACGTCTTGACACGGACCTGACGCAGTTTTACTTTCCATGAGCTGATTACATGATAGTTTCCTTTTTATCGACATATTTCATGACCAGATTGGGGTAATATTAGTTTAGTTTATCTTACTGACTGTGATCCGATACTTTGGTTTTGAGGAGAGTTAAATTTAGAGGAATTCAGTTGAATCTGTTTTCCTTTCCTTATTATTCATTTCTATCGGCCTGCTAAGTTTTTGTGATCGGTGACTGAGTTTCTCTTGCTGTTACAATGACAAGCATCTGCTTACTGATATCGGCATGTCCTAACAGTGATTAAGACATGTTAGACAGAAGATATAAAACCTTGTTTTGAGACTGTTGCCCAATTCACCAAAATATGAGCTGTATTCAGGAGCGAAGGAATGAAAGAGGGTGAAGCAAAGTTCTTTAGACCTGTGGCCCAATCTTAAACTTATAACCTATCTGTCCTTTTTAATGGAGAAAATGAAGTACAGGTTATTTACAACATCTCAGATCCAATATTTTAGGAGCCTCTGTGGGTGAGGCTTGAAAAAGAGGTGCCATTCAAACCATCTATAACAGAACTCATACATCTATAGATATCTCTATCACTGCAGATAGTTGAAAAGTCATGGAAGGACTGAGGCTAAACAGGCGGAGAGATTTTTTTTGGGGGTGGAAGCTTGTGTGTACTTGACTCTATTACAAAAACTTATTTTGCGTACTCTTGGTATCTAACTGTATTAATAAAAATTGTTATCATATTATTGTATGATAATATATTATTATAATATAATTATACGATAATATAATAAAAATTATAGTATCATTAAAGATAATACTGGGTTAACACACAGTTTCTCCGTCTACAAAGTAAACGTTATGTAGGATACAGCAATGCATTTGCTCTTAGAAGGAGCTACCTCCAACAAATATTTTAAATAAGCTTTGAATAAAATTGCTATACATCTGGGAGAAGAACAAGTAGAGAAGATAAATGTTGAAGGTAATAGCTGCTCTGCTGGCCCAACTGGATGTTGTCTTAGCTGAATGTTGTGTTACAGCTTGCCATAGTGGATTTATAGGTCGCTTTCAGTTTTAATAATTCAGTATTTACTATTTACTAAGACACAGTGAACTTCCCTTGTGACCCTGGCTACCGGGAGATGCATCATCTCACCAAGGCGGGTTTTGAAGTTTCACTGTGGCGTGTTCCACCTTTCTTCAGATCCCTTGAAAACAAGCCAGCGCCCGCACGCTTGTGTTTGCTTTGTGTGCCAAAAAACCTTCACAACAAGGAGCCGTGTCCTTTGCGCTCAGAGGTACCAAATGCTCTGAGGGGACAATAGGCTTGAGTTGAGAGGGCTTTGTGGAGAAGGGTAAAGAGGAGGAGGAGGCTCTCACCCTTTAGGCGGGAGAAAGCGCCTCGAATGAGCTGGTGTATTACACCTCTCCATCGCGCGTCGGGAAGAGACTCAGAGCTGCAAGGGGAACCACTGGGTCGGGCAGATTCTGTCTGGGGAAGCCGTGCAAGTGTTTAAAGCTCTATTCAACTGTTTTTCTTCCAACAGACTTTGGGAACTATCACTGCAGTGCCCATTAAGGTTCCTCAGGTCAGCTCCTTGCAGAGGTTGGCAGGACAAGGACCAGCAGTGCTACCTCAGGTACAAAATACAGTTCCAAAGAGGGGGTTGTGTCATTTGATATGTGTTCTGTTCTGTTCCTGTCTGGTGCCCGGGCCTGGGTAGGTCAGCACGCTCATTTTGCTGAATAAAGCCTCACCTTCAGTGAGTTGAACAGCAGAGTTGGGATTTTCTCCAATTCGGGGGGGGGGAATAAAAAAAGGTAAATCAGTTTTTCTGGGAGCATACTGTTAACACAATGAAAAGCTATAAAAAATCTTGTAGATTCATTGCGGGAGAACAAAGTACATACGGCAAAATGTAAATTTATGCTTTGTAAGATGAATCACAAATCACAGAAGTGAAAATTTGCGATTCTGTAATTAAGAAAAGTGGTGGAAGTATTAACCTTTCTGTTCAAGGTTTAGCCTCACACGTTCTTTTACTAACTTACTTGCCTTATCCCTGTCTGCCCCAGTATGAAGTTTCAGCCCAAGTAACCCAGGTGCCAGACTGAGGCAAGGTTGACCGGAGTAAAAGGAGAGTTACACTCACAGATTTTTCAAATCTTTTCAAACTGTGTTTTCTTTTCTGAACAGCCATCACCGTTTCCCCAACAAAGCACTTTTCTTCCACGTTTCAGCCTTGGTTCTCAAAAATTTTGCATGTCATTTTCAACAAGTGTTTTGCTGCAGTTCTGTGGTTTGCTTTTTGGATTCGTGATTGTTGGGTATAAACATATTTCTCCTGTGTGGCCCTTAGAGGTCTGTTTCTAAGATGTGAACGCTTATCTAGCATTGAAGTCAATGCTGGGTTTTCCTTCCTTTTTTTTTTCCCCTAATATTTTCTTTGTGGCAGAATCTTATAGAAGATCTGTGAGCTAAATCTGCCTGGAGGAAGGAGTATTTCCAAGATAAAGTTCTTAAATTCTCTCTTTAAATTACATTTTGTGGAAGGCAAAGTTGTGAACATAAAGGAAGGTTATAGTTTTGTTATCGAGTTCGAGACTTTGCTTTTCAGTTGTTCTTACAGCATAATAACACATTGATTTCTGCCATTTTGGGGTGTCAAAGATGAGCAGATTGCTCCTGAAAATAGCTGAGGTTCAAGAGCAGCTGAAAGACCTGTAACAGGAGCTTAAATTATCATTAAGGTTATGTTTCAGCAATGATGATGGCATTGCAAATGCTGCACTTAGGGAAGCATCAATGTCCTCTACTTCTGTTAAGTAGAAAAATTTTCATTCAGCGTTAGATTCAATTTTGAAGAATTGGAGAAAGTGGAGGAAGCTGATTTCCTCAACTTTTTGGAAAGAACACATATCCTTTCTGCCTTGCCCTTTAGCTCACGGCAATATCTTTTGTTTGTATTTCACTTTGTTTCAAGCCTCTCCTAGCGCAGCTTTCCATTGCAAACCTATTTATACAATCATACTTAATACTAATGAAACACCAGCCCTTCCTCAGCAGCCCTGAGCCATAATTCACTCAATTTTCTATTTCATACAGAGAGCACGAGAAATAAGCACACAGCAATCTCATTTCTGTCAAAACTAAATATTAAGTAGGCAGCTGTATGTGTTACCAGAGGTACGTCTTACGTTTTGAGGTTTTTTTTCTGGCTTTTTCACAGGCCTTCTTCAGCAAGAGCCTGCCCTATTTACAGGCTGTGTCCTCCTTTGCAGCTCATCACGGGCTATACGTTCCTCTCCCACGCAAAGCTTACGGAGAAGTTTTAAATTTCCATATTGCTTCCTAGCGGGGAACTCCCTCCACCCGTCAGAGCTTTCTGCCTGATGTCTTAAGAGAGATCAAGTTTTCCTCTATGAGTGGAAGGTTTGGCTTCTAACTTAACTAGTCAAATGCCTGCAAAATATATTTAATGGAGCCGTAAATCGGCGATGTAAAGCTGTCGTTGCCCAGAGGCTCCTGGTGCAGGTGATCTGCTGTAAGGGGGCTGCAGCACTGTCTCACTGTGAAAGCTCTCCTTTGTGACAGGAGGTGAGTGCATGGTCATCTCCGGCAGATCTTGAGGGTCCGTAGGAATCTGTGGTCCAGGAGAACTGGAAACTTCACACAGAAATATAAAAATAGCAGGAAGCAAGGCCGTGTGACAACACGGAGGTATTACAGCAAAGAACATCTCGTCCCTCTTCTCCCTCATAGCTCTGAGAAAACAAGTGCTGAATTAAAAATTATTTTGGAAATGAAGGGGCGTATAGTATGTTCCAGTAGGAGCTGGAAAATGTGCGGAATGAAATCCTGTGGCAGCCCCCGTCCTCTCCACTGGCTGCAAACCTCCTTGTGCCCCCCTGGGGGACCCGCGTGGCCCTGCCAGCCTAGGACTGACTTTCCGAGAGTCAGCTTTGCCACTCTCTCCCAAGCATGCTGACGGGTTTGGCACCTGCTGAAACCTTCACTTTGGCTGCCCGCGCAGCAGCAAGTTGAAGGGACAGCTTTTCCAGAGCAGTACGGTGCCTGTACTCGTGCACGTTAGCTGTGGCTGCACCTCGTGCTGCGAGGTGTTGCACCTTCCCCGAGCTCCATCTCTGCAAAGTCTAGCTTAACAGGGAACCGTGTAGAGCCCTGATAGCACGGAGGCCGAAGCAGCAAAGGCTTTAGTAAGCCCACCTGCATGCCTGCCTAGTTGCTCAAGCGCCAAGCCCAGGTGTGGTTTGTCGAGGGCGGTGGCAGGCACCTCAGCTGCCTTCATCTGGACGTGCTGCTGCCTCTCGTCCTGTTTAAGGAGGGCTGGGGGGGTGTTGGGGTCCCTTTTGGGCTCCCTGCCCTGCTAGGAGCCTGCTTGTCTCTTGAGTCACTCTCTGGAAGCGCCTTCGCTCTTCCCCGGGTGGTTTGTGCTTCTGTTTCAGGTGCAGGTAGGGTCAGGGGCTGCGTTCCCAACAGCACACGCGACCTGACATCTCTCCTTCGGGCCAGTTTCACCATTTCTTTGGAATTTCAGACTCCCTTTAGATTTAGCTGTAGGCATGAGAGGCATAAACATTGTCAGGCTGGCTGGAAAGAAGCGGGAATCCTCCATTTAAGGGTTCCTCATCACATCTAAATGAGTTTTACATTTCTGATGCCTTCGTTCTCCTAATCTCGACAGCCTCGTGATTTACCTCTATGCAGTCAAGCAGGGAAATACCGCTCAAGTAAACTGAGGCACTTAACAATACTTATGTAAAACAATACGTACAGCTTTCTCATTTTCCACATTGTACAGATACTTATCATTTGTTTTGTTCATTCGAATGGGTTTATGATATGACCCCCTGGGAGCTCTTCCATATGGGGAATGAAGTTTCAAAATCTGCACATTCACAAATGGCAGCAAAATCCCATCATTTAGTGCAGAGCTGCTATTAAATGGTGAGCAAACAAACATTAATTACAAGTTCATTGCACAATACAAACAATATTTCTTTAGGCATCCATTATTTGCTAAAACAAGCCTCTTTGGCAGACCTGGTTTTTTATTTCTTTTTTTTTTTTTACAGAATATAAAGTTAGTTTTACTTTCATCAGATAAGTAAAATTTCTGTTCTGAGCTGTGATGTTGGGTAAGTTAATTCCAGATAGTCTTTCTCTTCTTACTTTGGCCTTTGAGGTTTCCAGCTGGATGAGATGTTTTGAAACTGCAGACTTCCCACTGCACTCTGAGAAGCAAATCCTGGAGGTTCTCTACTCTGGCACACGGGTGATGTGCTCTTCTGCTCTTGAGCTGTTCCTCTGCCTCATGGCAGCCATCAGCTGTAAGGCGAGAGCAGCTTTAGGTCAGGTTGGGGCTCCAATTTCCAGCTGCAGTGCAGACAGTCTGTCTATTTTGAACTGGTTTACATAAAAAATCAAGTCACGCTGAAGGCGTGTGGGAAGTCTGATTTTCTGTTCTTCGAACGGAAGATTTTAAATGAAATGGTGAAAATACTCAGATAAACCTCCCATTTTGTTTGAGCCCAATCCAGTTCTCATTGAAATGAATGGCGAGGCTGTGACCATCTGAATAGAAGTTAAACGGGGTTTTAATGATCTTTTAATGTTCTGGTCTCTGGATGTTCCCAAAACTTTAAACGCACCTTCTCATTTTTAAAATTCCTTTTCCTAGTTGTCACGAGCGCAGTTCCACTGATGGCTAGTGCTTCTCTTCAGGGGTGTGCCAAACCCAACCACTGCTCCTGCCTTCCCTGGTGATAGGGCTTCTGGAAGATTCCTTGAAAGGAAAATGTCTCCTGTAGACAGAACCCAAGTTGCGTGATGCCACTGTGTACTGGAGAAGAAATGTGCTAACAGATTGGTCTGTGTCAAAGCCTCTCTCTGTCTCCATCATAAGTCTAAAATTATTTTAAAGTGTAATGTGTTAAGAGTGCACGTAGCCATTAGAAGTGGGAAAATACTACTAAATGCAAGTCAGCATTTTGTGAAACTGGAAAATAGCAGATATACACGTTTGTGTAAAAAATTACACAGAATTGTGCCATGGAGAGACAAGAGCACTTCATTGTTTGTGTGAGTAAGGAATAATTGAATTCGTGACGTTGTTGTTACAATACCAGAGGAGAAAAGGACGGCAGTCCCCTAAGGGATGCCGTGCACCTTCCTGGTGTCTCACCCTCAGCACTTCCAGGGGATGTGTCGGAGTGCTAGTGGAGGAGAAGAGGGATAATCTCATTCAAGGTAACTTAATCAGTGGTGGTCTGTAACCAGGCTAAGGGTTTTGCAGAAGTATTTAATATTCATTGACCGTATGCATGCAGAAAACAGAAGGAAGGTTTGCAGAGGCCTGGCTGAAAATGTAGCCCTTAATAAAGGGAGTTGTTAATCTGTTTTGTTCTGTATCAGCTTTTATCGTGTCTGTATTTGGAGCACCTTCCAGGAATGTGTTAAGCACAAAGATTAACATCTATCATAAGCTATTTCTTCTCTCATCCCTTCCCTTTGGGAAGAAGCGTGTTGTGCAGCTGAAAGTTCTGCTTAGGGCTCCCTTTTATCAGTTTGCTTATTTTTGATAGGCACGCTACGATTAATTAATAAGCTATATATTTC